CGTTTTTCCTTATGCCTATTCATGATGCCAAGTAGCTTTCGTACTCTCACTTTAAGTTTATCGGATTTTATCCATCAGTTTTTTTTCTAGAATTTTAGAATTTCTTTGTAAAATATTTTATATTTCTAACTCAATTCTATTAATGCCTTTTGGGATATTTTTTTTACTTTTCTTGCGTGACGAGCTAAAAAATCTTCAAAAAATAAAAATAAATAAAATAAAAAATAAATAAATAAAAAGTATATCGGCTTGCTAACAGATATATACCCACAGATTTTTTTTGGTCGTACCAAAGCGATCAGAACTACGTTTCTCATCCTTTAACTAAGCATATTGTATAGATCTCGACAATATTTTTACATTTTTTGAAAATTAAAATTATTTTAAATTTTAACCCTATGTTGGCCTAGGAGGATCACGCTAAAATTCGAGAGGAATAATGAAATGAACCAAATTGAAGAGAATTGGATGCTCGTTTCTTATTTTATGAGTATTAAAAATATTTACCCGTTATGAGAATGGTACAATAAGAAGTAATCCAATCCATCCCATATTCATACAGGATATAGACTTGGTAGACATATTCTGTTATGCCAAATTTGAAGATAATCGAATTATTCCTTAACATTTCATTATCGTTGTGGCTATTCAAAATGTTGACCGTCTGTGGGATAGTTTCTAAAAGTGATCCGATGTACACCATCTTCACCAGATATTGTGCTAGCGGAAATATTTGGATGAGAAAATCGAAATCTTATTTTGAATTCCATGAGGTTATTATGAGGTGAACTTTATGGGTTTACAAAATGTGTACCCATTGTGTGGTAGGTACCAGATCAAGTGGTCCGGTCCATCCATCTTCATACAATATCTAGAGTTAGTAGAAATATTGGGATATATAAAATTTTTGGATCCCGAAAGCTTATCAACTATTCTTGTAAAAAAGATAACGGAACTTCCTAATGTTTTATCACTTTCAAGGAATCGATCAAAAAATATTTCGGCCTAATGTCAATGCTTTCATGATCCTAGCCATATTTTTCTTCAACCTATTCCCATAAAATGTTCCCCTGTCTTATGGCTACATAGGGTATACAGGGTTGCCCATATTCGACGGACCCATCTGGCAACGCTATAACTTTTGACAGAGATGTCACATCGCTTAATGACATACCGCGTTTGAAGCGTCAGATTTTTACCATGAACCAATACACGCCACGCGAGCGCTCTGAAATAGTTGAAATTTACATTCAACAGAAGAAGTCAATTGTGAAAACTCAACGTGCTTTTAAAACATTTAAAAATGTGAGAAGTGCGCCTTCTAAGAACACCATTAAGCGAAGAGGCCATAAAAAGTAATCGCTGCCGTACGAGCCAGTGTTGAGAGGTCCCCAAGAACATCCCTAAAACGCCGTTCTCAGCAGTTGGGAATGGCTCGGTCCACTTTACAACGGATTATTTACATTGATTTGCATTTGTTCCCATACAAAATTCAATTGACGCAAAGAATCTTGCCTGCGGACAAGCCTCGTCGATTGGAATGGGCTCAAAGAGTCATCGAAATGGCCGAAGATGACGAGCAATTTTGGAACAAAATTATCATGTCCGATGAAGCCCATTTCACATTGAATGGGACCGTAAATAAGCATAATTGCCGTTTTTTACGTTAACAAGCCAAGGGCCGTAGAAGAGATCAAGGACAACATTCGTGAAGAAATAGCCGCTATTCCGGCCGAAATGTTGGCAAAAACGATGGGAAATGCAGCAAAAAGGGCACAATACGTCATCAACGCCAGAGGCGGCCATTTGAGAGATATCATATTCAAAAATTGATGTAAACAAATCTACTTGGAACAAATTAAATGATTAACATTGCCAACCGCCAAATTTTTATTTTTTTCTTTGATTTAAAAAAAAAAAAATGAGTCCGTCGAATATGGGCAACCCTGTATAATGATAAACTTTACCTCATCTCTTTGGATAAAATTTGTTTCAAGACATTAGAAGTCGATCGAGTCATGTTCGCATATCTGTACTTTTTTCCGGCTGAGGAGCACTCTAAAATCCTGTGGCAAATTTGCCCATTTTTTTCCAGTGTGACAGTAATGTCTTAAAAAAATTCGAATTTAAGCCCAGGATTGAAATACCTTAATTTGGCGCCCACACGCAAAAAAATATAAGCCTCTCTAACATATGTCCCAAACATATTTTGCAGCAAACAAATATATGTTTGCAAACATTCCCAAACATAACATATGTTTGGGTGCTGCAAACAAATTATGTTTGGGTCCAAACATAATTAATGTTTGGGTCCAAACATAATTAATGTTTGGGTCCAAACATATTTTTTGTTCGGGTGCAAACATAATTTATGTTTGGGTCCAAACATAATATATATTGGGGTGCAAACATAAATTTATGATTGGGTCCATTTGTATACTTACTGCAGATATAATTCAACCATAATGCAAACTAGTTTTAAAATTAATTTTTGATATTCACATTTTATTTAACATAAAAGAAATTCATACATATTATAATATATAATATAAAATTAATTGTAATAATTAATATAATATTAATATCAGTAATAAAAAAATGTTAAAAATAATAATATTAAAATAAAAATTCTAATTATAAAAATATTAAAGAAAATAAATAATTTATAATGAAACATAGTTTTTTATTTTCTTTAATATTTTTATAATTAGAATTTTTATTTTAATATTATTATTTTTAACAATTTTTTATTACAGATATTAATATTATATTAATTATTACAATTTTTATTATGCTTAAAATTATTCTTATGTTTCTAATATTAATTTATTATGTTTTAATTTTTATAAATAATATATTGTTGTTATTGATAAAATAAATTAAACATTTGTTAATAAGTTTATAATTTATATCGTGCCAGTTTTCATAAAATTTTTATTTTATATTAATTTTTTAATTTATTATTATTAATATTATTCTTAATATTTGTTATTATTTTTATTTATTAATTTATTATTTTTCCTTTTATTACAATCACTATTTTTTCAATAAGGTAAAATACTTACAATCTGTTAGGGTTTTCTTTTAGACATTCGTCAATAAGGGCCTTCGAAATATTCACCCTATCTTTATTTTGCAGGCGTTTTTCGGCAATAAAAATTCTCCATATTTTGTTGACAGCCGGAATTGACTTGATGGACTCTATGTCAGTCTTTAAAGTTGAAATAACATTTGTTTTTGGGGTAAGATCCCCAAAACCACCTACGGATTCACACTCCGATAGAGTGCCACTAACTGTCGATGCTGATGCCACTGATCGAACGGAGTCTAAATGAAAATTAAATATATTATTTAAAAAAAGAAATATATTATTTAAAAAAAGAAAAAAATATTAACAGCCTGTTTCTTTATTTTGAAACGAAATTTTTTTTGTTCCGACATAAAGAAACAGGCTGTAAATCCAGTGTACTTACCTCCAAATTGCAACTCAATATGAAAAGTAGGTGTTGACATATATTGATGAATTACTTTTTCAAACTGGTCTTCTTTAATGGTTGCACCAAACACTAAGGCTGTTATTTTTCTTGAGGGTTCAATTTTTAACTCTAATTTGGCTGCTTTTATAAAGCTTTGTAGATTTAAAGGCTCCGGCGCTTCGACAAATAATTTGTCTTCCCCCAAAACAGTTGGTATCAACATTTATTACAACACTTGTGACACGACGCGAAGGCACAAAACAAATAAAAAGAATAAAAAAAGAACACAACCAGAATGCCAACATGAGACACGCGCAAATGTTACGCTCTTTTGTTCTCATCAAGCAAATCGGTGTGTATGCGAAAAACGCATGTATGTATGTATGCATGAACATTAGTAAGAAGCAACGTCTCAGCAACAAAAAAACATCCAAACAGCTCTTTGTGTGTTGTTGTTGGCATTTTTTGGTGCATGGACAATAGAAAAGAAATAAACGTCTCAGCAACAGTTTCCATCCCTCTTGCCGCGCACACACCACACATAGTTACAGCAGCGATCGGCAGTGTTTGCTTGGTGAGAGCAAAAGAGCGTAACATTGGCGCGTGTCTCAAGTTGAGACACTCATCAACGCAAAAACAGACTTCTCACCCTCCTGTCTTCTTTTAAGTCACCTATAACACCAATTCAAAAGTAATCGAGAGCTCTGTTGTTTAGCTCTTTGAAAAAAATCCTCTCCGCACCCATAAAAAAATATGTTCTAACATATAAAATATGTTGGTACCCAACAAATAAAATTGAGTTATGTTACAAAATGTTGCAAACAAATATTTGTTTGCACCGAAACAAATTATGTTTGCATCCAAAAATATATTTGTTTGCAGCCAGTCCCAAACAAATATATGTTTGGATCCAAACATATTTCTAACATATATTTTTCTGCGTGCAATTATTGTTATTCATACATAGAGAAAAAAATTGTATAGCATCAGCCTTATGGCCGGTTGGTTTGTATTCTCAAAATCAGTGGAGGAAATAAGAATTTTGAGCTAACTTATTTTTTTATATTCTCGACCCTATGGTTATATATGGTGTGTTTCATTTGATACGGTTAAGCTGTGGTTCATCTCTTTGAATGAAATGAGTTTCAAGAAATTCTATAAAAAGTTGCTTATTATTAAGGCCTTCTATTACATTTTAGAGTTCCACAAAAATATTGTCAATTCATTACAGTAGATACTAAGTTTTAATACTTGAATTTTAATCGCTTTATTTTGATCAAAATTTATTTTAGTTACTAATTGCATGTATTTTAAACTTTTACTAATTTATTTATTTAATATTCATTTCATGCATGTGGTTTTAATTTGCTTGTTGCATGGTTTGTTTTTAATCTTTTCTATATTTTTATAATATTTTTTCTTTACTTTTTAAACCCATAATTAATAAAAAATATATTTCTAATATTTCCAATTCTATTTTTCCCTTTCTTTTTGAAATAAACTGCCTTGGAACCGCTGCTATAGGTCACTGCCACCGATGGTGATAAAGATCGTCCACAAAATATTGTCTACTTCTTGACCGGTCAAGGTATTGATCCTGACAATCCAGCCAATTCCAAATTCGATATCAATCGTACAACTGGTGAAATCTTTGTACTGAAGGTAAGTTCTAAAAAAAATTTTTTTGATTTTTTAAGTAGTTCCCTGAAGATGATTGGAGATAGCAATCGAAATATGGGAAAATAAAAATAACATATAAATCAGAACTTCGTCTGTATTATTTAAATAAGTCTGTAGCCGAAAAATTCCAAAATTACATTTTTGAATTTAATTAAATAATTTTTAGCGGGAGAGGAATGAAATTTTCATAGTATATAGGTCTGACAATCCAAGTGAAAATATTTCAAATTAAGGGTCTTTTAATATAAAAAAAATCTTACAAAATTTACAACATAAGGTCTTTCAATTTAATTTTTTTTAATGACTTGGGATCTGTCAGTTCAAAAAAAAAAAAAAAAAAACATCTAGAGATCCAACATACCTTGATTCCATCTAAAAAAAATAATGATTTAAGGTCTTCCGACTCCTAATTTATTTGTTAACCCACAAAAATGAAAACAATTCTTCAAGCTGTAAGAGGTCTCGCAAAAATGCTCTTAGGAAATGCACGTGTTAAGCCATGCAAATCCTTCAAAATATTCAAAGAAAAATCTGCGATAATGAGTGTGTAAATCTTGATTGATTGACCAAAAATACTATTAAACAAGTAAAAAAGCTGTAAATTCGGCCAGGCCGAACTTTGAATACCCTCCACCATTTGAAACGAATTTGGCAATTTTCAAATAAATAAAATCAGTTAAACATTCCTTTAAAATCTTAAAAATACCCAATGTAGCCGTTGTATTAGGGTCTATACGACGACGTGGACCTGCATAGGCAACTTCTGTCATCAGCCATTCAAATGCGAAATTTAAAAAAAATCGGTGAATAACGTAGCTAGAATCATCAAAATACCCAATATCGGGAGGTACTGATGTATGGGGCTATACCAAAACGTAGAACTCCACAAACTATTTTCTGTCATAGGCTATAGTATTCATTACGAATTTCAAATGCCAAATTTGAAACAATTCCGGTGAATAATGTCGCTTAAATCATTAAAATGCAAAATACCGGGAGGTACTGATGTATGGGGGCTATACCAAAATGTGAACCTGCACAGACAGTTTTCTGTCATAGACTGTAGTATCCATTACGAACTTCAAATACCAAATTTGAAACAATTCCGTTGAATAATGTCGTTAAATTCAATAAAATACCGAATATAGCGAAGTACCATTATATGGGGGCTTTACGTAGACAGTGACCTACATAGCGAATTTTCTATCATAGGCTGTAGTATCCTTTAAGAACTTTAAGTACCAACTTTAAAACCATTCCGGTGAATAATGTCGCTAAAATCATCAAAATACCGAATATATGGAGTTACTATTATATGAGGGCTACACCAAAACGTGGACCTGCACAGACAATTTTCTGTCATAGGCTGTAGTGTCCATTACGAACTTCAAATACCAAATTTGAATCAATTCCGGTGGATAATGTCGGCAAAATCATCAAGATACCAAATATCGGGAGGTACCGTTATATGAAGGCTATACCACAACGTGAACCTACATTGCCCATTTTCAATACCAAAAGTCCTGTAGACATAATATACATACGAGTAAAATTTTACCGTCCTACTTCATTTCCTTCGAAAGGTAGAGTGATTTCCATAGCCGCACAGACGGACGGACATCGCTAAATCGGCATAGAATTTTATGCTGATAAAGAATATATATACTTTGTGGGGTCTAAAGTCTATATTTCGAGGTGTTACAAACGGAATGATAAACTTAATATCCCCTCATACAATGCTGGAGGGTATAAAAAACCACGATTGTAGATCTAAAATTCCTCGGAAATATATTTTTTTAATAATTTTACGATTAAAGGTCTTATCGCCTCTGAAAGAAGATAAATGTTATGAATTAAGGAATTTGTAGGAAAATATTCAGGAAATGTAATTACATTTAAAAAAATTTCTTTTGACATTTTTGAAAAAAAAAAAAAATAATAATTGGTCTTTCAAGTTAAATTTGCCATACCCGTTTTCGGAAATCATCTCAATATTCTGTGTAAAGTTTATAATTGCATTTGCATTTACATGGATTTTTATGCTTTTGGTTTAAAGCAATTTGATGCCACCAACACGACCCACCCAAAGAAATCCACCCAAACACACACACACACACTTAACCACACATGCATCCATTAATCCCGTCAAAAGAAGATTTAAGTAGAAAAAATTACAGATGGTTATGCGGTCCAGTGATGCCACTTAAACAGCATTTCTTTTCTTTTTTTTGTAACATTTATAAAAACGAAATAATTGCTGGTTTAATAATGAAAAATGACTTATAATTTTTTTTTTGTAACATTTCGTGTTTTTTTTTTCCGTCGTCATCATGTAAATATGATGAATTTCACGCGTAAATTCATTCACACGCACACAGACATACTTATATCCTCACTCACTTGCTCACTTATGCCTTATTACGAAGAGGGAATTAAGCCGAAAACTATGACAACAACGGCAACAACTGCAATAAATAATAATTGTTGAAATTGACAATTACAGAACCGAACAATAACTTATACAATAGCAACAGCAACAACAACAACAATGCATTGGAAAACATAACTTCACTCAATATTCTGGCCACACAAATGTAGGCTTATTACATGATAAGCCTATGACAAGCCTTAAGGTATGCAATAATTGTTGTCTACAAACATATATATATATATATATATATATATATATATATATATATATATGCGTTGTAAAGTGTTTGTGTGTGTGTGGAAAATGTAATTTATTTTCACTACAATCCCTGCACACACACACACACAGAAAACTTTGTGGTATGGTAAATAGCGACAAATTCCCAAAATTGTTATGGCTTTCATTACCAGGGGAGGCAAATGTCAGTCGTAAGCCGTCATAATTTTGCAGTGCGCTTCTTGTTGCGAGTTATAATTGAGGTTATCTTTGGTAATTGTGATTACCAAAGGCTACTGGAAATTGTTTTTATTTAAAGAAATTTTACGAATTTAACAATATCGTTATATTCAGGGTGAGATGAAAAAATGCATCAACGTCAAACGTCGTGATTTTTACTTTAAAAAAAAAAAAAAAATATTGAATAAAAGCAAAAAATGTCGGAAATAACATCAAATATTAGAATAAGTTTAGATTTGTTCGAAATGGTCACCTTTGACACAAATTATGGCCTTCAAATGGTCAATGAAAACGTCACACGCTGCCTGAATGTTGATCTGCGGTATTTTGACCCATTCCCGGCGAGGCGTTTGATTGAGGTGATCGACACTTTTTATTTTTTAGTGCCAACCTTGCTTTCCAAAATACTCCAGACACAATGGTCCAACAGATTGGTATAAGGAGATTTTGCTGCCCATTGTGTGATGAAAATAAAGCGAGGAACCTCATTTTGTAACCATTATTGGTTACTGAGTGCGATGGTGCTGGGTTCTGTTGGAATGACCAAAGTCTGCGGCCAAAATGTTTGCGTGCCCAAGGCCTTAATACACATTATTTTCGCGATAATATTCTGTATTTATTCTGATGCCATGGTCGGCTGATATGGCGGTCCACACCATCGCCATGGCCGGCTATTGAGTTTCGGTAGCCAACCGAAGGTGCACAACGAACGTTTTCTCATCGGAGAAAACCATATTCGGCAGTTCACCACTTTCGGCAAAGCGAAGCAACTCTTTAGCTCTTTTGAGTCTATTTTCTTTCTGTTGCGGTATAAGTTTTTGCACATTTTGGAATTTTAATGGTTTTACCCCGAGCTCATTTTTCAATATTTGCCGAAATGAATATTGCGATATGTTCAGATCACGAGCCATTCTTCGCCCAATGCAACGCGGGTTTCGATCAAGTCGCTTCTTTACTTCTCGAACCTTTTTTGCTGGAATGCTGGAATAGTTTTTACAGCTGTCGGAAATGACAGCAGTCTGAGGTTGGTTGTGGTTTTTTCATCTCACCCTGTATTTGTAATTTAATTTTTAAAGAGAGAACATTTCATTGCATATTTTAGAGTATGATATAACATACAATTGTAATACGCACTTTCAAAACCACCTCCAAATATCCAGGCTACGCATGAACAGCGACACTAATACAAAATTTCAGATTTCAAGCACTACATGTTCACCCAATACCAAATTGTACCAAAAATAGTATTTTTCGTGCATTTCGAAGCCATTTTCAAAGCCACCTCCTCATTAAAAAAAAACTACCACCAACTGGGACCTCAATACAAAATTTTAAAATTCCAGCTTTAATTCGTTCGCCTTTTTCTGTTTAGCACCTGTTTCAAATTTAATACCATTTGGTACATTTCGAACGCTTATTGCTTATTTCCAAAACCAGCTTTATCTCTCAAATTTACTTCCCAAATGTAGTTGTCATACCAAAATTTAAGTTTTAAGCTCTATCCGTTCACATAATATCAAGTGATACCATTTTGGAAGTTTAACCTTAAAGTTCGAATTTCCAAAAACCCTTTGGTACAGCTTCAATATATCAGCGACTTTCATTTCAAATTGCAGAAATTTAGCTCCTTCTGTTTGTCCAATACAATGTATTGAATGTTTAGTACGTTTCATATCCTTTTAGAACGTGTTCGGAAAATCCCAGCATTATTTCATGTTTACGCACAATGACCGACCCTCGTGCAAATTTTCAAGGTTTTAGTTGCAGCAGTTGATTTCAGCCAGGCATTTATTTCTCTACTCTTTTATGATGCCCTATCTGTATGCAATGCAAAATAAATGCATTCATCGATCCATTAATATATTTCCCAGAAAGCGCCATCTATCGAAATTGGGCAATTATGGAATAGACGTGGAAATGCAAATTAAAAAGGCATACTTTCGGGCGGAAATTTTACAAATGTTTCAAAATATTGCGTACTCCAGACCCATTATAAGAACACTACATATCAAAATTGAACTATTATCGGAATGGAGTTTAAAAAATAATTTAAAATGAAAAATAAAATAAAAATATTTAAAAGATTTAAAAAGGA